AGCCGATGAACTCTCATCGACACACAATGAACCAGGAAGTGACTCTCCTGCTCCTGTGCGTTTGTTTAATCCCAAGAAACATATTAAAAGATGGCGAAATAAAGAAATCCCCCCGACGACTAATGCCAAACCCATTCTCCGGCTCCATCTACGTGCAGAGCATCCTATTCTGTAATCATTAGTCAGCTGTGACTGACATCTTCCATCCACGGCGAGCGAACACAAAGCGTGGGTTTGTTTTCACCTCTGTGGAAGTCGGTGTGTGTACGTGCGCCGCTTCATGCACAAGCAGCCGCTGAGTAAAGAGACGGCGGTATTTACAGCGCTCGGCTTCCCTCGAACTGCCGCACAAGCGAATGACATCACTACCTGCTGATCTGACTGAATGGGGAAGTAAGGAAGAAGGCCGTTTTCACAATAAAGAGGGGAAAAAAAGAGAAGATTACTTTAACAGCTGTCTCCTGTTACACCCTCTGAGTCTTCCTTCTGCAGTCTTCTCTCTTAAAAGCCTCTTGAATACGACTGGAGATGAGTGCAGATAACGTTTTGAGAAAAGGGAACTTGAACTGAGAGAGAGAATCATTGAACAAGAACAAGATAGCAGTGTCTCTAACATGTAGCTTGAGCCGCTTCAACACGCTGAACGAGTGTGGGAATGAGTAAAGAAAAAGTACTCAGTGTCCCGAGACAGACAGAAACCTGATCTGAATCAAAACGTAACCCCAAAGTGGAGTCCTCATGGGTCCTGTCCTAACATGAAAGTGGGAAAGGCCGCTGTCGCCGTGAACCCAATAAAACCGTAATTAAGTTTCGAGAACAGGTTGCTTTCAGGTGATCAAGCTAAAAGAACAGGTAGTTATCTAACGGGAGCAGCACAGCAGGTCCTTTAAATCCCCTCCAGGTCTGATGAGATTATCAGACTTTCACTCCACACTATAGGCACAAAAAAACACACAAAGGAGAAAAGCAGTTCCTAATTAGAGGAGATAAGAAAACCCCACTGAAAGATAAGAGCGGTAGTTTTAAGGCTCTGCTGAGTATTTGCTCTGAGCTTTGCGGTGATAGTTCCTAAATCTGAGAGGAGGTTCAAGGTTGTCACTAAGATTTCACCCAGAAGAAAGTCTTGTCAGCTTTTTTCTGATAATGCAGCAATAAAACGCACAACATTCTGCTCTTATCACATATATGCAGCGCTGACGGACCGGAAACACCCGGGGCCTGCCCGATACGAGCACAAGATCAGTGATAATAGACGTAATATTGCAACACGTGACAACCGTGTTGCAATAAATAAACAAATATTGAAGTATTTTATCTGTTGCCATGGTTTTCTCTTGTAACCCTGCAAACCTCAAGACATTAAATTTTGTTTTTTTAAAGATATTTTTTTGGCCTTTTTGTTTTTTATTTGATAGGACAGAGAGAAAGACAGGAAAGTGGGAGGAGGAGAATGAGTGGGAGTTGAACCCATGACCGCTGCGTCGGGGACTTTAGCCCCTGTACACGGGACACCAGCTCAACCAGGTGAGCTGTAGCGGCACAACAACATTAAATTTAATTAAAATGGCCAAAATCGATCATAAAGAAGTGTCGGATTTTCACATCTCGGACGGTCCTTGGACTCCTCATGCGTGACTTTCAGCAGTGTCAGAAAAATTTACCAAAACTAAGCTCACAGTCGTGATAGATTTGATTAAAATCATTTTATTCTACTTGTCTCGTATAAACAGTTTATAACAATAATACTAATGATTTTGACAGAAAGCCATGTCTGACTCAGCTGTCACGACAACACTTCAGCCGAACTGCAGGCAGCGTTTACACAGAGCAGAGAGAAAACAAGTATAAAGTAGTAAAACATATAGAATGCAGGGCGTCCATTTTTTCCCAGTGTTAGCAACACGTGTGGACACTGCTGTCAACTTTGATTCCACTTTCGTTTTTTATGATTTATGGCATCATAACTGTGTCAAACTGCACAGAAGACTTCTCAGAGGTCGCTCTCCTTCTAGCCAACGTTGTGACTTTATAGACTTTATATTGCAGTAAAAAAATGAGCCCACAGCGAGTAGAAATGGGACAGAGGCTAAAACCACAGGTACAAACAGGTACACCGCTAACATAACCTGTTTTTATTTAAAACACTGCTCATGAATACCCACCTGACATGAAAACTATCTGGCTAAAAAAATGAGAATGTTACATGAAAGGAAATATTCTTCTTAGCATCTTACAAGATATGTATATGTCAGGTTTGATGCAAACAATCAGGAAACAGTAAGATATGAGATATATGGAGGTAAGAGTTAATAAATTAAACTTCACATCTCTCATTTTCAGACATTTCTGCTTTGTTTTTTGTTTTGTTTTTCATTGTGTGTGCTTTATTTTCTCTTTTTTCTGTCTTTATGATGCTGTTGCATGTCTGAAATAAATCACAGATATAAATAAACTTTATGTTTTACATGTGAGCTGAAGTGGTTTTCTGATTTTGCCCAGTTAGTGTCTACATTTTATGTTAATTGCACTCCAGGACAGACTTGATGTTTTCTGCAAAAAGGTGAAAACAAGTTTAAAAACAAAAGAAAAAGTTTCAGCATATTGGACAAAAACCCTGTATCGTGCCCAATATATATTCATGTATACGTTCCTTGTGTATTAGTAGCTTCTTCTACATTTCAGTGTGACATTCAAGACTGAACTCTCGAGATAAGACCACGTTTATTCATCATGTTCTTCCCCTCAGGCGTAACCCTTTATAAAAGGCACTTTTACAGACTAATGAAATATTGTGAAATGTTCCTGTGCTTCACTAAATGGAGAAAACGGCCAACAAAATTTTGCAACTGCAAATTTCAGAGGTGTTGAAATGCGAGGTTCATCGAGCGTTCATCCAGCTTGTGCTTTTATTTTTATAATCCCGCTTTATTCATTGATCGCAGCCCCTGGACTTCCTGTTTGTTTCCGAAAGCAAACTGTAAATCTTGTGATGGACGTTAATTCAGTCTCTAATTCAGTCTGTGCTTGTTTTTCTTGTTATTTTGCTTCTAAACACAGTTTCTCATGTTGTCAGCCGGCCGCTCTTCAGCTGAAACTGTGAATCACGCTGAGGCTGAATACAAAGGTGAAGACGTGTTTAGTTTAATTCAGTGAAAACAAACAAACAGCCTCATAAGAAAACTAAAATGTCACGCCAAAGCATATACAAAAGAAAGAATAAAGAAAGAATGGGGGGAAATTTGCCCAATATGTGGACGTAATGCTAATTAGTAGCCCAAACATTTAGCTGTTTTGATGTTGCGTGATTTGTTTTTTGTGTCATCAAAACAAGGCGAACCACAAAATACATTGTTGTCCTATGTTCATACCTATAAAGTATAAAATTATGTATATTTTAGCTTCACCTTGGCAGCAAAAAAAAGACAAGAAGATCTCAGCTTGTGGACAAACTTAAGACAAAGGCAGTGTGGACAACTTAAAACGCCGACAGTGAGCACCAAAGCTCACCTGAATGCTAAAAGTTGAAAGCTGGTGTTGACGGTGTAATAAAATCTGTCGTGCAGCTACTGTGATGAAGCTGCTTTTATCCGCTGGTGAACAGTAACACGATCAAAACGTGAAGTTTGCTTGGAAAATATACGCACGTAATAAAGATTAAGTTACGTCTTTCTGCAGCGACAAATGACCACAATCGAATAAGAAAGAGTTTTACATTCAACACTGATACGAATGTTTAAAAAAAAAAAATCAGTAAATTAAGAGTATAGCTGCCGTTGATAAATACCGTAATGTCTGGACTATAAGCCGCTACTTTTTTCACACGCTTTGAACATGGTGGCTTAATGATGCGGCTAATTTATGGATTTTTACGAATTTGCCTCGAGACCAAAGTGACATTTAGAGCGACAACGAAAGAGAGACTGAGGAAGTGAGTGACGAAGTGATTCTGAGGCTGAAGAAGACGACTTTAGTGGTTTTAGTGGCAGGAGGAAGATGAAGATAGCGATCAATGACTTTTCCTGGTAGGCTGCTGTATGTTTTATTTTCTTAACCAGCCGTGTTACAGGCTCTGTTCAGAAAAAAGTATTTACAGTATTTATGTACATTACCGGTACATATTTGATTAAAAGTTTAAAAAATCTTTCTGTGTAACTATCTCATGATACAACGTGGACACCTGCAGCTTAGAGACAAGTGCAGCCTGTATATGTACAAAACTAGTTTTCTTTTCAAAGTTAGTGGGTGTGGCTTAAATTCGAATGCCTCAATAGTCCAGAAATTACGGTAAATAAATAAAGGATAATTCCACTTGAAATGATGAGCCAATTACTTGTTGAATTGATTAAAAGAAGAACATTAATCCAACTATTTTGAGAATCAAACAACTACTTAAATTATGTTTTATACCCAACAGATGATCTGCTGATCTCTCTGTCTTGTGTGATTTTAACCAGATATCTGCTGTTAAAACAACTAGTTTTATGACTTTATCTTGAGGTTTACAGAAATAGTGATTGGATTTTGTCAGTATGGCATTTTTCTCAGCTAAACATGAATTACACGGTTAATTAATCATTAACTGCGGCTGATAAAAAGTTCAAGTCAAGGATGTCACATTCAGATTATTGAAGATTTTTTTGCGGTTAATCATTGTCAGAAGTTCCAACTCCACGCGGCGTCACATTAATGAACCTGAAAAGCCTTCAAGTCAAACTACACCAAAGTCGTGCTGGTTGACTGGGATTGTTTATGTATTTATCTTAATTTGTGTTTGTGTGTTTTTTTTGCTGTTTATGTTTACTGGCGACATAAACAGACACAAAAGCTGCAGCTGTTCAACATCACACAGCGTCTTCATGAGTTTGTACATCAGCTGAGACGGTGCTGGTTTAAAAACCAAACAGGAACTTGATGTTTACACACCCAAGAAAAAACAGTGACAGCAAATCTTATTTCCGACTCCTTCCGTGTTGATCTCAGAGCAGCTAGACGTCACTCACCTCCGGCGTACATGACGGCCAGCATGATGGAGGAGATCCAGGACACCTGACTGGGCGTGGCGTTGAAGATGACCTCGATCTCCTTGAAGAACACGGTGATGGATTTGGGGAAGGCGTAGGAGAAGCCGATGGAGATGAAGGCTCCGACCACCACCGCCCAGCCCCAGCCACCCTCAGGAGGGGTGTAGCCCACGGGACCACCTAACGCTGGAGGCATCTCGGCTCGCTACGACGGAGAAGGCGAAGGAGGCGGAGTCCAATATCGACGTTGAGCTTTGAGGGTTCGAGGAGGTTTGGACCAGATGAAGTGAGATCAGGACAAAAAACACCTGTGGGCGAAACAGAGCAGACAGCTGGTCAAGATCAACGTAGGACGGGTGCTTCCTTCACTTAGCTTTTATCTAATCTGCTGTCAGCTGTGGAATGAAATATGTAGGAAAAGATGCATGAAGGAGGAGAACTTTAATTAAAAAAAATAAGAAGGGAACAAAAAATATGTAAACAATTCTTAAGTTTTATCTCCAAGAGCTGCAGTGTTGAAGTGGACCAGCTGTTCTGGGCGATATGAGAACATATCAGCAGATAAAGATCAGCTGGTGCCTTCCACACTGTTACGCCAACATTAGACCTTCAGGACTTTTGGTATTAAAAGAACACTCGAACTCTTAGTTGGAGCCAAAGTGCAGACCACACAACATGTGAACTGACCCTCATACATCATCTTTGTAATGTGTTCACAAGTTGTAGACTGAAATCCAAAGTCAGGTCACACAATGTATAGAAAACAGGGAACATTCCCAACAATTTAAGGTACCAGCAGTGTGTCACAGAAAAGCTTCTCTCTGGATGTGTCGCCTCGTGACAGGTGCTAATTAAATTACCAACACCTGTTCTATTGTCCCATCAAGCCGTGACAGTGAACCAGCGCAACCAAGATCCTGAATGTGACGCTGCTAAATGGATTACAGACATTGTTCAATTCGTCATTTACACGTGTTTTTATTCGCTGTCATCCTGTATCGTGTGGCAGCAGACATAAACAGCTCTGTCTTTGCTAGAAAACATCAGATATTTGCATATATTTTGGTGCTACTTCACTGAAACAACAAGTATAGCTGCAATTATTTTGATTATTTGTTATTTTAAAGCTTATTTTCTTAATTATTTGGCCTATATGGTGTCAGAATAAAGTGGCATAAACTAGCAAATCTCTGGTAAAATGTACAAAAAAATACGCAAGAAATTAACAACTTAAATAAATATGGCTGGGTAATTATTTTACTTATTTACGACTAATCGTTTGCGCTCCAGTAACGGCTGGATTAACTCAGAGCGCTTCTACAAGATCAGGTCTAAATTTAACACACTGGTCTCCTCACACTTCCAGTAGTTTCTGCTTATGTTGTGCTTTTTTGTGATGCTTGCAGAACCAACAAATAACTCATGAAATCTTTGCAAACACCAGGCAGAGAACCAGAAGCTTTCAGATTCTGGCTCTGTTCACTGGAGCTGCTCTTATTATATTATTAAATTTCCTTGTGCCGTGTAAACTCAGACCTGCTAGCCAGTGTTTACTCACATCTGAAGAGGCCTTTTAAAAAAAAAAAAAAAACATTACTTGGAAAACTGCTACCTGGAAATGTACTGGTGAATTTGTGCTCTCGACAGCAGGACAACTAAAAATAAAGTGCATGTAAAAATAACCCAAACAGCCCCTGAAGACGACGGACTCGTCCAGTCGCTGGCAAACTTGTCTGACAACCTGCGCTGTGACCAGAACTTCATTTGTTTAACGCTGATTTAGCTGCAGACCTCTTTCCAATTCAGGCCGAGCATAACCGAGCTATTTATGGTGGAGTGACATCAGCTCTGCTTCTGTTTGGCCCATTTGCCTTAGAAGGACTCCAGAATACAAACGTACACGGAGGCACATTTAAAGCTGAGCAACAGTCAAGAGCCGACTCAAAAAACTGTAAACAACAAGACGCAAAAGAGCAGAATACTGGGGAGGGAGGATTCAGCCAACCTTGTAGGAAGTAATGAACAGCCAGGAGCCCCCTGACATGGCATTTAGCTTGGCTCATGCTGTAAACAACCTCGTCCCACCAATCATTACACTGTCATCCTGTTTCAGCGGCTGCTTAACGGAGCTCTGCCGTCACACTAAGTCCACACGTGGTGTACGGCGCTGCCTGCTTACTACTTGATTTCCTGGAACGCCTACTGGCTTCAAACACATACGCACATTCAAAATGCATAAAACACGTCAATGTTTGTAGCCCTGCTTTTGTCCTTCTTCATCATTTCAGCCCATTTGTCCAACAAAGTAAAAACAAACGGCGGTGAGCGTTAAAAAGCCTCGAGTCTGGTTGTTCTGGCTCAAGCACATTAAATGCTGAGCTTTCAGTTATTTCCTTCCTTTCGGGGAGTTTCACTTCATGACAGCACACCACTAAAACATTGTCCCGCACTAATACGCCCGCTATTACTGCTAAATACAGTTTAACCTGAACAGTGACCCACTGAGAGTGATCAACTGCAGCTTTGAGCTGATGTTGGTCTAATAGATCGACAGATAGACGTTTATTTGTCCCCGTGGGGGGAAGCTGAAAACACTCAAATGGCATTTCACACTGAGGTAGCCCACAAACACTCCACATTTCACACGTTATGGCCGGACCAGCTGGGTTTCATTTCCTGTCCATATGTAAAGATTTGATGGCTTGTGGAATAAAAGACAATTTGGACCTGTTTTGTTTTTGTTTTTTTAACAGAGGAGGGAAACAACGCCGTGCAGATGGTTTAAAGGACGGCTCTCGTCAGCCACAACAGTATGGGCCTTGTTCATAACCCGGTCTTTGTGAATACATTACTTATTTAAAATAGCTCTGATCAGTGACAGCTACTGACTTATTAAATAAATACCAGGACACTGCTGATCATACGGAGCAAACTGTGTGTCGATCTGGTGATTATGAAACTCACTGGTGTTCGATCACCCGAGTCGTGTGTTAATTTTTGCTTTAGTAATGACTTCATTTCTCACCGAGGATGTTAATGTGTAATTGGTAATGGAGTAATTGTCATTAATTATTTTCAACCAGTGCATCTCCCAGGGGTCAAACTGCTCATTCCACAGCACACAGTGATGGAAAAGGCGCCTGGCTGCTGCCTGGTGTAGCTAGCTACCTGAGGTCCATGCTAATGCTAAAGTAGGATTTTAGGATCTCCATCAGCGGAGAGCAGCTGCTAACGTTGCTCGCGTTCAGAAGCAGCAGAAGTCTGATTACAAGCTTCCAACAACATACAAGCCAAATGAATAAAGTGTATTTTTGACGCTCTGCTCTGAGCGTAAACACGTTTCAGAGGTGGCAGTAAATACTGACAGACTTCCTGGAGTGAAGGAGTTGATGCAGCAGTGTTTGTGTGCATCTGGTCCAGCTGTTTGCAGCAGCTGGACTAACAGTAACTGCAGTGAACGGGTCAGGACATTACAGATGATTTACTGTGGAAGACTGTAGCTCGTGTGCTGCGTAACCTGGCGTTCACTTTTGTTCTTCAACGTCCGAACATAACCGAGCAGATTTTGTGGCACATATTAAACATTAGTGGGTGAAAACTGTTTTGGCCGTTCATTTCAAAGACTAATCGATCATTTCTAGTTACTGATTGTCTGAAATTTGCATCCCAACTTTGCATTCTAACTGTCAGTGTGTTTGGGTTGACCTGTTTCTACGCACAGTGACAACTGGTGCAAAGAAGTAAACCAGGACATGAAATGCCAGAAAAAAAGTTAAATATTGCACAAAACTTTCTGCACACGGTGAAGCTAAAAAAAGACTTCATGCAACCAAGTTAAATGAAAACAGACTTTAAAAATAAGTCACGACGTACATAAACCATGTGACGTAAACATAAAACTGCAGCAGATATTTAAAAAAAAGATCTGAGTGATAATTTGAGGAGACTGTAAAACCTCTTCTGCTGCACACAGCTGGAGAACCAGCACCAAAATTCAAAATATGTGCAGGACAGCACCACTTGTACACATTTTCTGTACCAATTTGCCAGAAACTCAGTTAAAATTACACAAAATTTGGATGGAAACCTGCTTAATTAGGATGTTGCCGATACTTTCATCCCTGAATTTTGCAGATTGAACTCAAGATATGACCTATTAATTGAACCACTTCACCCACTGGGATGAATCCAGCACATCCTGATGTAATTTATCTCATATTAGTTACAAGTTGAGGGTCTGAACAGTAGCTAAACTTGTCAAATAAGTATTTCTTGCTTTAGCTTGAAGGTGTTATAATCCCTAAAAGGTTCCTTCTGAGCAGCAAAAACTACAAGCAGCGACCGCTTGGAAAACTGCAGAATTAAATACATTTAACCTCATCTACTCCAGCATACTACTCCACCTGCACGTTGGTTTATTTAAGCGTGGTGTCACGTATTTGCGGTAAACATATGCGCGTTCAACATGCAGCACATTTCATCTTAGGGGCTTAGCACCAGGGTTATATTACTACGTGCACTAAAACAGATCTGTGGCATTCGCTCACGTCATAACCTCAGAAAAGGAAGCCGTGACACTCAGGCCAACTCTTCTATAAAAATAATTTGACCTTATGACATATCGTATAGGTAGACATGAACTCTTCTACACACATTAATCTGCAGCCACATAGCAGAGTCTGAGGCAGGACTGCAGAGTCATGATGAACTGAGCCGTTTGTGTTCTCATTTCCTAAATATGTGGACCCAAAGGACTGATGCAACAGGGTGGAAGACGACGTCAGTCACCAGAATTACAGATTTTAACCCAGAAAAAACCCCCACTAGGCTTAATATTACTACAGCACCGCTCCAGAAAGTGTATTTATAGGGAAGTATATCATGACATATAATCAAGATTGAACAACTTTTATGGCAAAGTTTCTGAATTCATGTGTTTTATTGCAGTCAATCAGCTGTGAAGTTACTGACTCTGCAGCAATCCAGGTCAGAGGCATCGGACTGCAGTCAATAAAGACTAACAGTCGTGTGTCACAGTTTGGACAGCAAACAGTCAAACACACCACTTCAGACACCACACAACACACCCAGAGATGTGCACAGGCAACACAGCAAGGCAGTTTTACTTCCTCGTTAGCTGTCTGTGTCGGACACCGCACGTTCACACCAGTAACTGAAGAACTCAGGCCTCCACACGAACCCAAAGAGCCGTAAAACAA